TTATTTATCTTCTATAATTGAAACTTTGTTGCTTTGAGTGGAGCTCAGAGCCGGCTGCAGCAGCTGGGAAGCTTGGCTTCCTGCATCATTGGGGCAACCAAGCCTCCTGCTTGCTCCAGCTCCATGGCTGCTGGCCACCATCTTGGTTGGGTTAATTTGCATATATTCGCTCTGATTGGCTGGTGGGCGTGGCTTAAGACGTAGTGAAGGTACGGTTAATTTGCATGTTTGTCTTTTATTAGTTTAGATATCCAGAGCAAAGGCACTCGGGTGTCTTTCCTTGTAAGATGTGCAAAAGTGCTGGACACCCAAGGAGAGTTGTCTCCATATACCTTATTTTGGAGTTGTGAAAACGTTTTTGATAGAGGTTTTTTCCCATTCCATTTAAAAAATTATGGTAAAGCCCTACTTGGGTTGGCTCAGTGGGTAGAGTGTTGGCCTGTAGACTGAAGAGTCCAAGGTTTAATTCCAGTTCAATGCCTGGTTTGCAGGGTTGGTCCCCAGTGGGGGGCATACAGAAGGCAGCTGATCAATGATTCTCTATCATCATTGATGTTTCTATCTCTCCCTCTCCCTTCCTCTCTGAAATCAATTTAAAAAGAAAGAAAAGAAATATATCTAAAAAAATTATGGTGAAATGAAATCTTAAAGGAACGTTAATATTAAACTTGTGGGGTTTTTTCCTAACCATACCCCCATCCCTTTTTTTTTTTTCCAGTTCAGTTTGTGTCCTTGCTTTTTCTTACTTAGATTACCATAATTGCCTAACTGGTCTTACTAGTCAGTAGTCTTCTTCTATCTGTCATCAATACCTGTGCCAGAGGGATCTTTTAAAATGCAGATCTGATGATGTTACTCAATTTAAATTTTATTGGTTTCCTATTACTATTAGGACAAATTTAAATTGTTGAGCAGTTGTACAATTTTTCTTATGCTAACTACTATCCAGTTTTTAAGTGTTGACAAGTAAACTTAAAATAATTTTAAGGCCATAAAAGCCAATATTAGCTAGGCTGTGACATCTGCTCTTAGTTTCTCTTATACTATTGTCTGCAATATGCAGTTCTTTCTGCCTTGAATAATTTCCATATTTGCCTATTCATCCTGAAAAACCTACCTCCTCTATAAAGCCTTTAAGTCAGTGGTTCTCCACCTTCCTAATGCCGTGACCCTTTAATACAGTTCCTCATGTTGTGGTGACCCCCAACCATAAAATTATTTTCGTTGCTACTTCATAACTGTAATTTTGCTGCTGTTATGAATCATAATGTAAATATCTGATATGCAGGATGTATTTTCATTGTTACAAATTGAACATAATTCAAGCATAGTGATTAATCACAAAAACAATATGTAATTATATATGTGTTTTCCGATGGTCTTAGGTGACCCCTGTGAAAGGGTCGTTCGACCCCCAAAGGGGTCGCGACCCACAGGTTGAGAACCGCTGCTTTAAGTGAACCCATCTCAATTTAGTTTGGTACCTTGCTCTGAACATCTTTAATTTTTTTCTTTTGTTAATCCTCAGCTGAGGATATTTTTTTTCCATTGCTTTTCAGAGAGAGGGAGGGAAGGCAAGAAAGAGAAAGAGAAACATTGATGTGAGAGAGACACATCTATTGGATGCCTCCCACATGTGCTGGACCTGGGGGTGGGCAGTGATCCGGCAACTCGGATACATACTCTTGGCTAAGAATCAATCCTGCTACCCCTTGCTGTGCTGGCTGAGACTCTAACCACGGACCTACACCAGCCAGGGCTGAACACCTTTAATTTCTAATAAACTGCATGTGTCACTACTGCACTTATCTCATTGTGTTCTAATTATTGATTTACTTTTTTTTTGCATCCTCACTACATAAAGTGTAAGCTACTTTGAGTATGACTCCAGTCCTTTCACACAAACACCAAATCTTTAGGAAAGAAAATTGCTTTGGAATCAAATCCATTAAATTCATTTTTTAAATTACTTTTAAGCTATTCCCTGTTTTGAACCTTGAGGATATTAATTTGCTTAATTTTGAAGGGAAAAATATAGTATTCACTGGAAAATAGATGTGATACAGTTATATGGTCCAACCTGTTTATGATCCAAGATATATGGGCATCATATTTATTATTTACTATACTATGCCTAATAATATTCTCTTGCATTGTTTATATTAAAATACAGACGGTGGACATTCATAAAGAGAAAGTGGCTCGAAGGGAGATTGGTATTTTGACAACAAATAAGAATACATCAAGAACTCACAAAATAATAGCACCTGCAAATATGGAGCACCCTGTAAGGTATATTCGGAAACGTATTGACTATACAGTTCTGGATGATGTGGGCCATGGTGTCAAGGTAAGCATTTTTATTGCATTAACTTAAAATAACTTATTTACCCAGTAAATATTTTGGATAGCAAAATGCTGATAAAGATTATTTTCTTGAAGAATTAGTAGACTGTCTTAGTTAGTAACTAGCATTACAATTTTCATCGAACACTTATTTAATATTAGCTATGTATTATACCAAAATGGGGCAGAATTTTGGGATAGGCTATATTCAAGAAGCTGTTAAAACTTGAAGTGGCTATTCATTCATTGAGCTATTTTAATCTTAGACTATATTATAAACTAGAGGCCTGGTGCATGAAATTCGTAGACGGTGGGGGTGGGGGGTGGTCCCTCAGCCCGGCCTGCACCATCTCCAATCCGGGATCCCTCGGGGGATATCCGACTGCTGGTTTGACAAAAATTCAAATTTTTTGTCAAAAAAACTGGCAGTTGGACATCCCTCTCGCAATCCGGGACCGCTGGCTCCTAACCGCTTGCCTGTCTGCCTGTCTGATCGCCCCTAACCGCCTCTGCCTGCCGGCCTCATGCCCCTAACTGCTCCCTGCCAGCCTGATCGCCCCTAACTGCCCTTCCCTGCTGACCTGATCGCCCCTAACTGCCTTCCCCTGCCGGCTTTATCGCCCCTAACTGCTCTCCCCTGCCAGCTTGATTGCCTCTAACCACCACTGCCCTGCTGTGTGGGTCCTGGGTGTGGGTATCAGGCTCCCTCCTCCCTCCTGTCAGAGTCTGGAGCGTGCCGTGGGATCCAGAGTCCAGTCCCCGCCCACCCGCGTTCGCCTCGAAATCGCGTGAGACCCAGACCAGGCTGGCCCCACCCCCATTGGGTGAGACCCAGACCCGGCTGACCCCGCCCCTGTCAAGCCCCACCGGCATGTCAAAGTCCCCGGCCGGCGCTGGGAGGAGACGCAGTGTCAGTCATTTTCTGGGTCAGCATCAGGCAGGGATGCAGGCTCCTGCTGATCAGTCATTACAGCGTGAGGGCATGGTGACCATTTGCATATTAGCCTTTTATCATTATAGATTTGTTTTGAATACCATATCTTGTTTTCTCTCTCTTTTTAAAAAAAATATATTTTTATTGATTTCAGAGAGGAAGGGAGAGGGAGAAGGAGAGAGAGAGAGAAACATTAATGATGAGAGAGAACCATTGATAGGCTGCCTTCTGCACCCCTCTACTGGAGATCGAGCGTGCAATCCGGGCATGTGTCCTTGACTGGAAGCGAACCTGGGATCTTTCAGTCCACAGGCTGACGCTCTATCCACTGAGCCAAACTAGCTAGGGCTTGTTTTCTCTTTTTTTAAAATATATTTTTACTGATTTCAGAGAGTAAGGGAGAGGGAGAGAATGATAGAAACATTGATGGGAGAGAACATCAATTGGTTGCCTCCTACATGTCCTTCACCAGGGATTGAGCCCACAACCCAGGCATGTGCTCAGACCGAGAATCTAACCAGTAATCTCTTGGTGCAGGGGTCGATGCTCAACCATTGGGCCACACCGGCTGGTTTAAATTCAGTTATTTTAGACTAGATTTTTAAGATATTTTTAGACTAGATCTATAGGATTTGGATTTTGAGAGGCTGGAAGAACTTTTTTGTATTATTTAACTTGTCTTTGGATTAAAATTTATATCTATCTTACACATGTATATGTGCAAGTGCACACACACACTCACTCATTTATTCACTCACTTGTTCCGCTTTTGCCCAATCTTGATTTTTCTTCCTACCAAAGCAATATACACTCATGAATAAAGTTTTATCATCCTCTTAGAATATCTTCTATTGTCCCTTCAGTAATAATTGTTTAATACACAATACTTAGCAGAGTATAAGATGAAACCACATTTTACAAGGAATGGGTGAGAATATTCAACTATTTTATATATGTATAAATGGGAAGTGTAAACACAGCATGATCTATACTGAAAGTATACAGATGTGAGTTTTGGCAGTCTACTTTTTTGTAATACAGGTATTTTAGACTCGGGGGTTTTTTAAACTTTAAAAAAATTATGGTAAAATATAATCACATAAAATTTACCACTTGAAGTGTACAGTTCTGTGGCATTAAGCACATTCATATTGTTATGCAGACTTTTTTAAAATGTATTTTTTTCTTTTTAAATTACAGTTTACATACCACATAATATTAGTTTTAGTTATACATCTCAATGATTATATAACTTACTAAGTGATCATCCGGATAAATCTCATACTCATCTGACACCACGTATAGTTATTAGATTATTATTGATTGTATTTCCTATGCCCTACTTTACATCTCCATGACTAATTGTTACTACCAATTTGTACTTCTTAATCCCTTCACCTTTTTCACCCATCCCCCCAACCCTCCTCCTATCTGGCAACCCTCAAAATGTTTTCTTAGTCTGTTCTGCTTGTTTGTTTAATTTATTTTTAGATTAAATTGTTGATAGATATGTATTTGTTGTCATTTTATTGTTCATATTTTTTATATTTTTCCCCCTTCTTAAATAAGACCCTCTAATATTTCATGTAATAATGGTTTGGTGGTGATGAGCTCCTTTAGCTTTGTCTTGTCTGGAAAGCTCCTTATCTGTCCTTCCATTCTAATTGATACCTTTGCTGGGTAGAGCAATCATGGTTGTAGGTCCTTGTTTTTCATTACTTTGAATATATTTTGCGAATACCTTCTGGCCTGTTGTTTCTGTTGGGAAATCAGCTGACAGTCTTTTGGGAGCTCCCTTGTTGGTAACTAACTGCTTTTCTCTTATTGCTTTTTGTTGTTGTTAATCCTCACCAAAGGATATTTTTTCCATTGATATTTATTTAGAAAGAGTGGAAGAGAGGAGGGGAAAGAGTGAGAGGAAAAAACATAGATGTGAGAGAGACACATTGATTGGTTGCTTCCTGTACATGTCCTGACCTGGGTTGGGGATCAAACCTGAAATCCAGTTACTGCAAACCAGGTAAGGGCCTTTGAATGGGAATTGAATCCGTAACCCATAGGTGTATGGGCCAGTGCTCAAACTACTGAGCACACCAACTAGGGCTCTCTTGCTTTTTGTTTTTGTTTTTGTTTTTTTTTGTTAATTCTCATCTGAGGCTGTTTTTCACTGATTTTTATTTTTTAAGAGAGAGTGGAAGGGAGGGGGTGGGGGGAGAGAAACATCGATGTGAGAGAGACACATTGATTGGTCGCCTCCCACACACACCCCAGTCAGGGCCAGGGATTGAACCTGCAACCCAGGTACATGCCCTTGACTGGGAATCAAACCTACAATCCTTCTGTGTGTGGGCCAAAGCTTTAACCACTGAGTTACACTCGCCAGGGCTCTTGATACTTTTAAAATTCTCTCTTTGTCTTTAACCTTTTGCATTTTAATTATGATGAATCTTGGTATAAGTCTCTTTGGGTTCATCTTGTTTGGGATTCTCTGTGCTTCCTGGAGTTGTATGTCTATTTCCTTCACCATGTTAGGGAAGTTTTCTGTCATTTTTTCAAATAGGTTTTCAATTCCTTGCTCTTTCTCTTCTCCTTTTAGCACCCCCATGATAAGAATGTTGATACGCTTAAAGTTATCCCAGAGGCTCCTTACATTATCCTTATATTTTTGGATTCTTTTTTTTTCTCTTCTGATTGGGTGTTTTTTGCTTCCTTCTATTCCAAATTGCTGTTTTGATTCTTGGCTTCATCTACTCTACTGTTGATTTCCTGTAAATTATTCTTCATTTTCGTTAGTGTATCCTTCATTTCTGACTGGTTCTTTTCTATGGTTTCCATGTATATTTTTATGCTGATGAAGTCCTTTCTAAGTTTATCTACTCTTCCCCTAGGTTCTTTGACATCCTTATGAGCAATGTTTGAACTCTGCATCTAGTAGATTGCTTGAATCCATTTTGTTTAGTTCTTTTTCTGGAATTTTGTTCTGTTCTTCCATATGGGACATGTTTCTTTGTCTCCTAATTTTTGCAGCCTCACTGTTTTTTTTTTTCATTCTATGTATTAGGTAGAATTACTATGTCTTCCTGTCTTGATAGAGTGGTCTAATGTAGCAGGTGTTCTGTAAGGTCCAGTGGCACAGCCTCCCTGTTTAGCTGAGCTGGGCACTCTAGGAGTGCCCCTTATGTGGGCTTTGGTATACCCTCCTGTTGTTGTTGAGTCTTAATTGCTGTTGACACATCAAGGGGAAGGATTTATTCCAAGGTTGATCGGTTGCAAGGACTGGCTGTGACCATCGTGGAGTATCAGCTATGCAGGGTCCCACCCCACAGAGCAGGATTTCATCAGGTCTTTGGTGTCTGCTGAGTCCACCCCTTGAGTGTGTGGCTCATGGAGGTGATTGGGTGGTGCTTCAACTTGGTCTGAAGCTGTCCAGTGGGTGTGCTTGTTCTGGGGACTACCTGGAGGTATAGGACAAGGTCAGTCACTATTTGTGTTCTGCCTAGGGCAGCGGTTCTCAACCTGTATGTCGCGACCCCTTTGGGGGTCGAATGACCCTTTCACATGGGTTGCCTAAGACCATTGGAAAACATATAATTACATATTGTTTTTGTGATTAATCACTATGCTTGAATTATGTTCAATTTGTAACAATGAAAATACATCCTGCATATCAGATATTTACATTACGATTCATAACAGTAGCAAAATTACAGTTATGAAGTAGCAACGAAAATAATTTTATGGTTGGGGGTCACCACAACATGAGGAACTGTATTAAAGGGTCGCGGCATTAGGAAGGTTGAGAACCACTGGCCTAGGACCATCCAAAATGAGCTACAAAGCAATCTGCAGATGGCTGGTATTTATGCTCTGCTTTGAGGTGAGGTGCCCAGGAGAGACCAAGCTATGAACCAAGCCGGATGCCACTATTGCTGCGCCTGGTACTACTTAGTGAGAGGTGCAGGGCATGCAGAGGCCAGATGCTGCTTGTTTGAGGGATTATTGGAAAGTCTGACACAGGAGCCAAGCCTGGCTATTCCTATGTAAAATCCAGGGAAACAGCTTGGGTGGGCCTGCAAGTTGGGTGGGGTGGGGTGGGGTCTTAGGGCAGGGCATACCCTTTTAGACAGTTGGATGGAGACTTGGATATGTCATTTGTTGGCTCATCAATGGCCTCTGCCAGCACTCCTGTCAGGGAGAAAGCTGCCCCTCCAGCTCTCGCCCTGATGCCATACAGTTCAGTTCCTCTCCGTATGTCTATGTCCCTGATGCATTTCAGGCTGCTGTCCCAATGCTGGAACTCAGAGTCCAAGTAAGTCTGTGTGTTCCTTTTTAAGAGGAACATCTGGGTCTCCAGTAGCCCTCTATTTCAGCCACAGTGCTTGCTGTTTGTTTTTAAAGAGAGAGGAATGGAGAGGGAGAGAGGGAGAGAGAGAGAGAGAGAGAGACACACACACACATTGATGTGAGAGCAGAACTTCAAGAAGCTGCCTCATGCATGCCCACCACCAGGAATTGAGCCCACCACCAAGGCATGTGCCCTGACTGAGAATTGAACCAGCAACTTTTTGGTGCATGGTCAATGTCCAACCAGCTGAGCCACACCAGCCAGGGCTCCTCCCAATTTTTAACCACCACATGTGGTTGTGATACCAGCCTATTCTGAGTATTCACCGCCCCCCCCCCCCCCCCCCCACCGAAAGTGGTTTCTTCTTTATATCCTTAGTTGTAGGACTTCCCTTCAGCTAGATTTCAGGCGGGTATGAATGATGATTGTTCTGTAGTTTAGATGTAATTTTGATGTGGATATGGGAGGATTCAAGTACCACATTTATCTACTCTGCCATCTTTTTTTTTACTCTGCCATCTTGACAGAAAGCCTTAAAATCTATTTTTGACTGGGGCAAGAGGATGAGTGGTCTGTCAGAATAGTGTATCTTAGAAGCTTTTATGTGGCATATTTGTTCATATTTTGTTTGTGTGTTATACAAATGCAAACATTTATTTTTTTCACTAATAGTGTATTGCTGATTTTTTTTATTTCTCCACTTTTCTGATTTTTTAAAAAAGATCATTGTACCCTGGACAGTTTGCTTAGTGATTAGAGCATCAGCCTGTGGACCGAAGGCTCTCGGGTTTGATTCCCGGTCAAGGGCACATAGCTGGCTTGCAGGTTCAATCCCCGGCTTTCAGTCAGGGTGCATGCAGGAGGCAACCAATCAATGTGTCTCTCTCACATCATTGTTTCTCTATCTCACTCCCCTACTCTTTCCCTCTCTCCTTCCCTCCAACTTTCCCTTCCACTCTCTAAAAATCAATGGAAAAAATATCCTCAGGTGAGGATTAGAAAAAAAAAAGTCGTTGCTTACTTAATTATTTCTAACACTAGAGGCCCGGTGCACAAAAATTTGTGCACTGGTGTGGGGGGGTGTCCCTCAGCCCCACTTGTGCCCTCTCACAGTCTGGGACCCCTCGGGAGATAACGACCTGCTGGCTTAGGCCCACTCCCGGGTGGCAGAGGGCAGGC